ACTCTCTGAGTCTCAGTTTTGCCATCTCGAAAATGGAGAAAATTATGCTTGCACTTCCTACCTCTTAGGGTTGTAACAAAAGAGTGTTGTAAACTTTGAAATGTTTACATGATAACTTTATTATATATTTAAAAGGAATAGCAAGTTATACATAATAGATTTGCAGTTTCATGTGCAATCATCTTTTTTATTATACTGTTATGGAAATGTTTATTTTATTCCATAAGTTAAAAATTAAATAAATAATTTTTTTAAAAGGAAATGCTATATGAATGTGAATTACTATGATTTTCCTGACATAGATGGCTCAGTCAGTCTTTCAGCATCTGTTTAGCAAAAGAAAAAAATTCTCAACAACATAGTGAGCAGAAGAAATCTCAATCAATCAATTAGCTCAAGTAACATCATGCTTGCTACCAGTACTGTTTCAAGATAACATATTCAATCACCTTACATATTCACTGATTTTTTAAAAATAGATTTAATAAGATGAGAGATAGCAATGGTGTAGTGAATAGAGCTGTCATCAGACTCAAGCAGTCCCACCTCTGATGCCTACCGGCTGTGTGACTCTGACCAAGTCATTTAACTCTTTCAGTGCTCTAGGCAATTTTCTAAGACTGCAAGTTGCAGAGAAGGTACAGACCTACACTGGTAGTAGGAGTTTCCTGATTTAAGATTTCTGTATATCAATGAAGTCACAGGTCAGTCCCTATGTTCAATAAACAAAATTAAATTTTAGCATTTAGCACATGTGCTAAATTACCTTTGTTCATTTTATTCTTTTTTGTCACCTCTCAAGGAGGCTGCATGTTGGAGAGAATTGGAGACTTGAGGTCAGGGAGATGTCTTCTGTCTCTGATATTTTTTAGTTGTATGACCTTAGGTAATTAATACTTAACCTCTCTATGCCTCAAGCATCTCCAATGGAGGGAGTTTGCCAACCTCTTCCCAACCCACCATAGTATCATAGATCCTTTACATATTTAAGAAACTTTGCTTGTTGTTGTAATTTTTTGTTTTGTTTTTTGTGTTTGGGGGATTTTTTTTTAAAGGCACCTAGGTAGCACAATAGATTAGTTCAGTTGTTTGTTACGTCCTACTCCTTGTGACCCCATTTGAGGTTTTCTTGGAAAAGACACTGGAGTGGTTTGCCATTTCCTTCTTAAGTTCATTTTACAGATGAGGAAACTGAAGGAAGCAGGGTTAAATGACTTGCTGAGGGTCACACAGCTAAAAAGTGTCTGATGCCCAATTTGAACTCAGGAAGACGAGTCCTTCCAACTCTAGTCCCAGCACTCTATCCACTGTGCTATCTAGCTGCCCAGCAAAATAGATAGAGTTCCGTATTTGGAGTCAAGAAGACCTAAGTTCAAATCCTGGCCCAGAGACTTACTAATTGTGACACTGGGCAAGTCACTTGACTTCTCTAAAATTCAGTTTCTTCATCTATAAAATGGAAATAGTATCACCTATCTCATAGAGTTTTGTAGGGATCAAATGAGATTATATATAAAGCACTTTGCAAATGCTAGATATTATTATTCAAGTATCTCCTCTGTCAGAATCACTCACAAATGTTTAAGTGTCCCTGTATATAGAGATATATAGTACATGAACACTTTCTTATATATGTATGTGTGTGTGTGTGTGTGTGTGTGTGTGTGTGTGTGTATCATACATGGACTCTGAAAACTTGTAAGTGAGATATATAGACATATCTACCAGTAGAAGCTGGGAGCAATACTATAGCATACAATCCTTGTTCATCAGAGCACCTCCTAACAAGTCCATTGAAAGGAAGTCTTTGTTAATCAGGCAGGAGGCTGCACTGCATCAATTCATTTTTAGGAGTGAAGATTTTTTCTTATTCTCTTGCCCTTGTGATGTAGAAATTGTCACCCACATTCCTATGAAGTGTATTTGAAGCAGGGGGAAGTTCTTGAGAATGTATGAACCGTCATAAATCATAGTATTTCAATCATGCTGAATAATTGTGGACTCCATTCAAAAAAATTCCATAGAAACAGAAAACTCCAGCCGTGATAGGTAGGACAGTGGCTTTTTGTTGTACAGTATATGGATTTCTTACCAAAAAAAAAGCAAATGTTTTTCACTCCCATGAACTATTTTTTCCTAGCTTATAACCTCCTTTCCTCTATGATTGTCCACATGCTTTAACTTTATAATATGATGCTTACAATTATCAAATAGATTATCTAGATGGAAAGCAAGACTGAGCTGATTCCCTCCTTGGAGACATAAACTCTATCATCTGTTTTCTAAGTAAAATTGCTGCTGTATCTATTTTTTTAAAGCCAGACATGTAGTAATGCACAAGTCAGATGTTATCGCCCCCTAAATGAGGTGGTAAGTGTTTTTTCAATGATATCACAGATAATTTGGTTGATGAATCCCCCAGTTCATAAATATTTCAGGACCCTCCTAGTGTCTGAAATTTCCAGTCTCACATAGAACCCAGGAAATATATTTCAAAAGGTTCAATCAGACTCTCCCCAAGGGTGTACATTTGACTGAGGGGGATAAGGGGTATTGTAGGGCAATGGAAGGAAAACCCTGGATATAAAATCAGAAGACTTGACTCCACTCCTTTCTACATGAATGACCATAAGAAGGAAACAAGCATTTATTAAGCATCTACTATGTGTCAAGCACTTTTTAATCTCATTTGATGCTTACAACA